ACACACCCACACACACACACACACACACACACACACACACACACACACACACACTCTAAAGGCAAATATCTTCTTTTCTATTTCAACATTTACCATACCATGTCTTTCCGTTGTTTTTTTTGTTTTGTTTTGTTTTGTTTTTTTGAGGTTAGTGTTTTATCTCTCAGTTTGTTAATGGCTACAGGATTGTTCAGGCTTTTGGTTCCTATGTGAATCAGGAATGCCAGGAGTCTGCCCATTTCACCCATGCTTTCAGATCACTGCCCCCCATGATTTGCTCATGTCAGGGGCCTACTGGCCTTCACAGATCTGCCTTTGGGTTGTGCTGCCTCTGCACTCCTGGCACCTCTGGATTGTCTCTCTTACTGTCAGTTAGTCTTTCCAGTGGCTGCTCAGTTTATCTTTCAGGACTTTGGAGACAGGGTTTCTCTGTGTAACATTCCTGGCTGTACTGGAACTCACTCTGTAGACCAGACAGGCCTCAAAGTCACAGAGATCTGCCTGCCTCTGCCTCACAAGTGCTGGGCTTAAAGGCATGCACCACTATGGCCCAACAAGACAGGTTTGTTTGTTCTTGTTTTATTACCATTTAAAATTATTTTCTAGCCATGCAGTGGTGGCATTCAACTTTAATTCTAGCACTCAGGAGGCAGAGGCAGGCGGATCTCTGAGTTTGAGGCCAGTCTGGCCTACAGAGCTAGAACAGCCAAGGCTACACAAAGAATATCTGTCTCCAAAAAACAAAATAAAACAAAAGCTAAAGTGCTGGGTGTGACGACCCACACTTTAATCTCAGCACTTGAGAAGCACAGGCAGGTGGGTCTCTGTGATTAAAGTCAGCCTAGTCTACATAGGAAGTTATCAGGCCACCCAAGGCTACTTAGTGAGACCCTGTTGAAAAAAAAAAAATGAAAAAGCAAAGAAATTAAACAAAAACCCCACCCAAACCAAAAACCAAAACCAACAAAAAGCTGAATGTGGTGTTGCTCATCTGTATCCTAGGGAACAGGAGGAGGAGACAGGAGAATCAGCTAGAAGCTGGAGGGCCAGCTGGCCTAGAGTAAGCTGCATTGTGGTAGAAACCAAAATGGAGACCCCCCACACCTGAACAAGTTGGGGGTGAGAACTGACTCCTGGAAGCTGCCTTTTGACTTCCGAATTTGCGCTGTGAGCATGCATGTACACACAGAGGAATGCATGCACACTGAATAAATTAGTAAACAATAACAAAATAAGCAAATTTTCATTTTGATTCCCCCTCTGGCTTATAAATTTTCTGGAAACGTGGCACACACATGTAACTCATACTCAGATGGTGAACTTAGGAGGATGAGGTCAAGGCCAACCTTGGATACACAGAGTTCAAGAGCTGGGCTACAGGAGACCCTGTCACAAAGCAAGCAAGCAAACATTCAAATGAGCCAGGATAGCCAGCTTCATTTATCTGTCTACTGTCACTAGTTTCTAAGCCTGCTGTACTGTGAGGAGGAACACGTTCTCTGAACTCATCTCACTCGGGCTCTGACTGCGCAGGTCCTCCCTCCGGTGCTCCAGGTGCTTCTTGCCTTTCAGCAGACTCTTGCTCGACTGTCTTTGGGGCTTCCCAGTTGCCTGATCTAAGTGTGGGCTGCTTTCCTGTATTCTGGCTTCCCAGCCTCTTCTACCATGAGGTAGAAATACAGCCTGGGAGCCCTGCCCCCTTCCAGGCCTGTTCTGAGGGTCTGCCAAAGGCAGACTCAGTACTGGTATCCCACAAAGTCTAAGGTGATCCATATGAAGCTATCACTCTGTGGGTCTAAACACTAACAGCAATGGTTCGAGGTCCACTGCTCACTCTAAGGATAAGTGTTCCCCCTTTTGCCGGCTGTTTACCTCTCCAACATAGGTGCTTTTCCAACACTTGTTTCTGTGCCTCCCATCTCCACATCTCAGCAAGGGGAGGTAGCTTGGACAATTTTCCCAATCTCATTCTCATGAGCCCAGAAATGTGCTAATAATTGTATTTCATTTAAGAGAGAAAAATCTGGAGTGAGCACTGAGTGTTCTGCAAGGCTGAGAGAAGATCCTAGAAGTGGCTAGGCCAGCTGCTGAGTGTTCAACTCTCAGGATGAGGATTTTCCCCAAGAAGGAAACCAAGACTCAAAGAACTGGGACATAAAAGCTCACACAAAGGAAAGCAGGCCGGACCTTCAATCACATCCGGACTGGACTCCCTACTTTTTCCATCTGTCCCATAGGAGGAGTCTGGGCCCTGTGATCAGTAGGGTCCTTACCTGATGCAAGGGGATGACAAGGAAGGCTCCCCCGCCGGCGCATTCAGTGACCACAGCGATGAAATGGGGGTTCACAGCACAGAAGTGGTTGTCATGGACGCTACGTGTGATGGGCACCGAGTCGTAGCAGTTCTCTTTGCTGGCGGGCTTGCCGTAGACATGTCGGAACTTGGAGCTGCGGTACTGGGGGTGCCATGACATCTGCAGGGGAGGGAGGGACCAATGATGTGAGGCTCACTGCCTCATCATGGGGCATACTTGAGACTGCTTAACAGGCACAGCTAGTCAGGTTTCATTGCTGACTCTTTTTGAGGTAAGGTCTCAGTAAGTAGATTGTGCTGGCCTGGAACTCACTGTATAGGCCAGGATGGCCTTGAACTTGTTATTGTTTTGCCTTAACCTCTCGAATGCTAGGATTACAGGTTGTGCCACCAAGCCTGGTGACAGTGGCCAATTCTACAAAGGCAGTGGTCTGCTATGAAGAACAGTCAGGTGAACAGGCTATCTCTGAGGTTATGGAGGAGGCTGCCAGGCATTATTATTGATTTGTTTGCTGATACATTAAGGCTTTTCAGTTTTTTCAAGTATGAATCCCCCAAACTAGAGGGACCACAGAATATTTGCTATAGCCCCCATCCCCTACCTCTTTCCACCAAACAAGCTCTCCTGCCAACTAAGTGAGAACCGGTATATTCTCTGTAGCCAGCCAGTCTGGCCTCCAATTCCAACTTTGTCTCACTATGATAGACAAATAAATGACTTAACCCTTGGGGTACCCATTTTCTAGTCTATAAAATGGGACAACACAAGTACCTGTCTCATAGACTTGTGTCTCACCTCTGGGAAGGGAGCCACTGGCTTCCATAGACGAAACCACCCAGTGCAGAGCAATGTGACTGCCATACCCATCTGCCCCACCCCAGTCCTTATTTCTATTGTCAAGGTTTGTCCACACCTTTGAAATGGGGGAGAGGTCACAGAAGTGGGGGAGGGTGGCATTTAGTAAGGCCAGGCCCTCTGTGCGCAGCATGGGAGTGTCTGTATTGTGTAACTATGTGCACACCTGTGCATGAGCCCTGCATTCATCAGGGAGCTCTTGGGGCGCTGGCATTGTCCCAGCTGTGCTTGGGACCTTCTGCTCAGGGACCCTGTGTGGCTTTGATGACTCAGCAATTCAGGAGCAACAGTTTCACTTCCCCTGCTAGCACGCACTTGTCTGGACTGCAGGCAGGGCCTACCTCCCTCCACAGAAGGCTTCTCGGGAGTGTTACTGGGACAGCTTCCACTCCACTGCCATCCTGTGTGTGCCCAGTGGCTTGATGCCATGGGATTAGGCTGGGGGCTGGAAATCATCCTGAAAGGGCTTTAGTTGACTCTAGGTGTGACACGGGGGCAGGGGTTCTTTCCCAACATTTGGCTATGGAATGAAGGGAACTGTCTCATTCCCTACAACCCTTCTGAGAGGTAGGTACTATCCCTATTTGAGGATGGGAAATGAGGGTGCCAGGGGAAGCCACGTGACCAAAATTGTACCAGTATGAGCAGCAACTGTGGGAAGTCAAAAGTGAACCTCTTCCTGTGATATACATGCATATTCATGTGCACCTGTGTGGGTGACGTGGCTGGTGGGGAATGTGGGGGGAAATCAACAGATTTTCCTTCCTACTCTCCTCGGCCCCCTTCTTCATCCAGCCCTGCAGGCAGCTGACATGGAACCCAAGTTGGAAGGGGCACAAATCATCCAATGGAGTATTCCCTAGTGCCACTGTAGGCGGCCTTGTGGTGAGTTACGACTTTACCTGATTTGGTTTGATGACAGGTGGGCTGGGCCGGAGTCTGCTGTTTCCAGAGACATTCCACATCCTTTGTTTCTTCCTCTTAAAATCTGACCTTGTGGGCACAGAGGCCACTCCCTGTAAGTGCTTTGTGGGAGGGGCTAAACAGCCACTTTCTATCTTAGCCTGGTTATTAGAGGGAGATTTGAGGGCAAGATGATAGGTGTGGTAACATCTGCCAAATCCCAGCATGCGGTCAAGGGTTTAAAGTCAGCTCCAGCTAAACAGTGAATGCAAGGCCAGCCTGAGGTACACATCAAATTCAAAGCTACCTTGGGCTACTCAGCAAGACCCTGCCTCACCAAACCAAACCAAACCAAACGACTTTATTTGAAAGTGATCTTCAAAGACCAAGAATTAACACAATAGGCGTGCACCCACACACAGACTAAAATTCTTGGCTTACCTAATAGAGTGCATCATGACCCTGACCTTGGCCTCAATTCTGCTGACAAATCTCTCCATGGAGATCAGAGACCAATTCTTGGTAGACGGTTCTCTTTTTCCATCTTGTTGAAGCAGGTGTCATTTCTACCACGATGTCACAGTGGTCCCCTATGTGCCACAGTGGCTCTCAAGCTTCCAGCTGATTTTCCTGTCTTTGCCTTCCATCTCACCAAAGAAGTGCTGCACACATGTGCCCTAGAGCATCTGGCTTTTTACATGGGTTCCAACACCGAACTCAAGCCATCAGGCCTTCACGGAAAGTTATTTCACCTGCAAAGTCCTTTGGCCAAGTTTCTTTTTAACGCACCCAGAATTCCCAGTGAGGACCCAATCTATACCACATGGGGTGGGGCAGCTGGCTCCGGAGCCAATTGGAGAGCCCCAGGTAGCCCTTTTGGGGTCCAAGCTATGTACCAACATCTCTGCTTCCCCAGCTCTTACACAGGGTGTCTTCTCACAGGGAAGGAGAAACCACAGGTCCTGGCTCCTTCTGGTAAAGGTTTTCTCAACACAGAGTGTCTCAATCTGAGGCCAAGTCCTGACTGAAACCACAACTTCTTGCCACTAGGCATCTTTTAATTCTGCCTTCTCCAGCTAGCAATGATGTCAAATGTCACAATTCTTCCTCTTTACTTAGTGCCAGCAATGATATCAAGTGTCACAGAGATGCAGACAACTAGGACCTCCCCCACCCCCCATTTCAAAGTAGGAAGAAACCTGGTGGTTCCTCAGGAAACTGACTAACTGAACCTGTCTGCTAGGGACCATGGACGGCTCCCTGGACAAGGAGGTTTGTGCTATAACTAAAAAGCCAAAGTAGAAGATTTCAGGTTCAAGACCAACCTGGGAAATGTAGTAAGAGTCTGCTTCGAAATAAAAACATGACAAAAGGAGCTTGGCATGGTGGCTTGATATCTGGATCCTAGGCCTGGGGAGGTGCGGGGACGATTGTCACAATTTTGAGGCTAGCCTAGACTACATAGTGAGATCCCATCTCAGGAAACAAACACAATGACGACAGGTTGGTTTGAGGATACAGCTTAGAGGCAGGACACTTACCTATCATGTGCAAGGCCCTGGGTTTAATATCTAGGACTGAAAGAAAAACAATAAACAAACAAAACCCCCAAACCTGAAGATGTCCCAGAGACAGATGAACAAGCTGGTCACTCTATCACAGGTGATGGCTAAGTTCCTGGGAGCCCTGACTCTGACAACTTGCCTGTGAAAGAGAAAGCTATGGAAATGAGCAAGCCCAGCATCCCGAACCAGAGATTAGAACATTCCAAAGCAGAACGTTCCAGAAGGTTTGTAAAGAGAGGTGACTATGATTTCATTCAATTACCAATCTCTACCCAGGGCTGGCTCAGGGCTTACTTAGTGCCTAGGGCTTGAGGGCAAGAAAGGAATATCTGGGTCACTGCTCTTGGAGGTTATTGCTCTCCGAGGTCACCCCTTTCCTGGAAGTGCCAAGTGTGGGAAGAGAAATTATGGTGAATTTGAGGGCTGATAATAGGGCTGGCAGTGGCTGGTGACTCAGAACACTGGGATCGACTGAATCCCACCACTGGCTTGACATAGAGGCTCAAGCCTGTTCCCAGCACTTGGGAGGATGAGGCAACAGGGACACAAGTTCAAGGCCTGCCTGGGCTACAGAATTATCTCCCCTCCAAACAAGTTGAAAAACAAAACAAAACAAAAAACATATCCCAGCATACTGTCAGGTCCCCAGAAGACTCCCGTGTGCATTTAGTGAAACTTACAAGGGTTGGAACACAGTGGCTCATGGCAGAGTCTCCAAACAGTGATATCACCAGAGAACTTGCCAACACTGTACATTCTTGGGCCCCACCCTGACAGAATCTGGCACCCCAGGGTGCAGGGCAAATCCTGCTATTAATTAGCCTTCTCCACCATTCATGCTCTGGAGTCAAGTCTGAGACCCAAAAGTTTGACGGCCCCCTGAAACCATGATCCATCTCAGCATCATAGGAGGTAAAAAAGCCGCCATTATTCCACCTGATCTTTACAAAGAGGCCTTGCCAAACATTGAACCCAATGCCAATTGAGTTGGTGGTACTCTACACACCAAGCTGGGCAAAGAGTGTTCACCAGGAAGCAAATGGCAAGCTCTAGGACACAGGAAATCCTGTGTGTTGAATTTTTGTAGTTCTAACAACTCAAAATGAATGAAACAAAGGAATAAAACTATATAAAACATTTAGAAAGATTAAAGACCAAACTCAAGATGCTACATTTGGTAGTGACCAAAAGCAGCCAACATGAGAAAAACCAGACAATCTGAACTTAATGACTTAGCAAAAACTTAAAACTTCCATGTATCAAGAACACTATCGGTGGGGTAAAAGGCAGCCTGATGAATGGGGAGTACCTGGGAGGTGTATTTGGAAAAGGACTGACAAACAGAATCCCCCAAATCCAACAACAACCAAGACAGAAAGGCTACCTGGCTTGGTGACAAATGCCTTTAATTCCATCACAGCTCAGGGGTGGGGGGCTGGGGGGTTAGGGGAGTTGCTTTGAGTTAGGGACAACCTGGACTACAGAGTGAGACCCTGTCTCACCAAACAAAATTTGTCTCAACAAAATTTGAAAAACTGCCTTGTTTCTTCAACAGATGGCCTAGGCCAATGGAATCTGTCCAAACTGGAAGAGACCTCACGGGTGATGTGCAACATGGAGTTCCACAGCAAGCTGGAACCCTAATTCACAGCATTCAGCCACAGAAAGCCAGTCAGAAGCAGCTGAACAAGCAGAATGACCCCCGACTGGTAATTATTATGGTTTTCCAAGACAGGGTTTCCCTGTGTAGCCCTGACTGTCCTGGAACTCACTCTGTAGACCAGGCTGGCCTTGATCTCACAGATTTGCCTGCCTCTGCCTCCTGAGTGCTGGCTGACAAGTTTTTTAATTGTTTAATTACGTTCTATTCATGTATTTGGTGTGTGTAAGTATGCACGTGTGTGGAGGTCAGAGGACAACTGCAGAGTCTGTTTTCTCCTTCTACCACACAGGGCCCTGTCATTAAACTCAAGAACTCATTTTGTCACTGCCTGGTGACCCCTGACAACAGTCAACAACGACGTCACCAGCTGTCTTTTGGGGTGACAGCAACACTGTGGTTGTCAGTCTGTCTCTTAGTGATACATGCTTAACAGGCACAGATAAAATGATATGGCCCCTGGGGCTGACTTTGAAATAAACCAGGGGCTGGAGATGTGGCTCCCCCCGGCGCTCGCCTGGCATACACAAAGCTCTGGGTTCCATCCTCAGCACCACATAAAACCTGCTGTGTGCAATAGGGCTGTAATCCAGTGTCAGGAGGTAAAGGCAGGGTCAGGAATTCAAGATAATCCTTGGCTAGATCCATAGTGGGAGCCAGCCTGGGGTATGCTAAACTCTGTCTCAAGAGAAAATAATAATAATTTAATAAAGAAGAAAGAATTTAAAGACTCCAGGCTCAATCCCCAGCATCCACACAAATTAAATAAAGTAACCCAGTAGGAGGTGGGGAGGGGAGCCAACAGAGGACCTGAAAGTTGTCATTTGATTTTAACAGCTTTGCCCAACAGAAGCCTCCAAAGCAGTGGTTCTCAACCTTCCTGATTCTGTGACCCTTTAATACAGTTTCTCATGTTATGGTGACCCAACAATAAAATTATTTTCATTGCTACTTCGTAACTGTAATTTTGCTACTGTGAACGTCTGATGTGTAGGATATCTTATGTGCAACCTCTCAAGGGGCCACAACCCACAGGTTCAGAGCTGCTGCTTTATATGGCTCCCTCTGTGTGCTGAGGCCTTCAGGGAAGTGAAGAAGAGTTGGGGAAGCCTTTGGGCTTGCCCATCAACACAGCCCAGATTTGGGGATCCCTTCATGGCATCAAACATCCCAATGCAGGCACAAGTACCCTGTAGCCAGCAAATGGACACAGTACACAGCTCAGTTCTCAGGCCCATCGGATGCTTCCCCTCCCCCTCCATCCTTCTGGTCTGGCACAGATGCCTCCTGCAGGCCCATAGGAAACACAGATTGAGGCTGGCGGCAGCCAAGAGAAAGCCTTTCTTCCTGATGAGATTAGGCTCTAGGGAGAGCCTCCTCCTCCCCCAACTGACTGCCCAGAGCCAGAGTTAGCTGGCAGAGCATTTCCACAGATAACTGAGGGATCCTCTGCAAGTCCAGACCCCTGTTTAAGACCCAGGGTTTAGTCATTGTAATCTTGGGGAAGGATCTGTTTCTCACATATGCATTCCCTTAAGTCCCACCATGGGTCAGAGTCACCTTTATTTCTCAAAGGTTTCTGCTGGAATTGGGTGGTGGGTCTCATGTTCTCCCACTTTGTTTTGTCTGCCCTGCCCCCCAGAACACTAAGTCTTTTGAATACCCCACCTTGGCACATACTGCTTCTCCCTGCAGAGTCTGAAATGAAACCATAAGGCTGGCACTCTTTGGGCTCTGAGGATGCCCCTGCCTCTTGCCCTCCTCTTGCTCCAGGTTCCAGCATGACACTTCCCCCTTCAGATCACCCTGCTATATGAAGTACTCATCTTCATACTGGGGGTGGGGTAGCCAAAGCAGGGAGAGAGGTTTAAGACCAGGTTTAAGACCTGTACTCTGCTGGTTTGCCTTAGTATCCCCAGTGCCCTGGCTGGCCTGAAACTCAATATCTAGACCAGGCTGGCCTTAAACTCACAGGGATTTTCCTGCCTGTCTTTGCAGTGGGAGATCCCATCATGTCCAGCTTAGCCTCTTAACAGGTTGTTCAATAGTCCTGTAATCTCAGCTACAAGCCAGGAGGATCAAAAGTTCAAGACTTTAGTCAGGAGAGATGGTTCAGGGGCTAAGAATGTGTATTCTCTTCAAGTGGATCTGAGTTCTATTCCCAGTATCCACTTTGGTGGCTCACGACAGCCTGTAACTCTAGCTCCAAGAGATCAGGCCTCTGTGGACACCTGTATACATTGAGTGCGCACACGCGCACACACACACACACACACACACACACACACACACACACACACACACAGCGGCTATGGCACTTATGAATTACCTCAATGGCTACCATGGCACAATAACCCTGTGCAGTAGTGGCACATACCTTGGCATTAATCATTAGCTTTTTAATTGGATTTAAGACTGGCTTAACAAAAGGGATATCATGCCTGGTACTAGTGACTTAGTCAACTACGCAGTGTTAGTGAATCTATTGTTATTGGAGGGATCTACAGCCATTAATTTACCAAGCCAACATAATCTCTCTAACAACAATCTTTAAGTCCCACAGATAAGAGAACTCCATCTTTTATCGAGGAAACTTCTCTTTGTAACAGACTGAGACCACGACAGAAACCACAGCCAATCAAAATGCAGGGTTGTGGAGCCCCAATTAACAAAACAATCCTGCACCTAAAGCTCAGGGAACATTGTGGAAGAGAAGGCAGAAAGATTTTTAAGAGCCAAAGGATCAGGGATTTTTCTCTAAGACCTTTGCTCTCCTAATAGCATCAGAAGATACACCCATAAAACTTACCAAAATGACCTTCCAAACACAGGCTGAACAAGGATGACACCAATGAACATTCCAAACTATATGGGGAAAAGCCCATGAGGCCTCAGCCCTACACAAAGAATTATGGGCAACCGAGGGAAGCCAGGAGTGGGGAGGTGGTCCTCCCTAGGGAAGAACACCCCAATTGTCTGTCCAATGGTCAGCCCTGAAAACATACATATAAGTAACATTATACTGTAGCATGCTTGCCTAGTATGTGTGAAACTCTGGGTTCCACCCCAGCACTGCCAACAGCCTATCTTATTATTCACCCCACAGACTCTGCAGGACTAGGGCCATGTAAACAGATTGTCTTGCACTCGCCAGGCTCATAGAAGATGTTCCTTGTCCTTTCTCCTCCCATCCACAGGACTATCAAGTCCAAATGGTTCCCCCTTCTGCTCTGCTCACCCACAGACCGAAGGGTCCACAGGCAGTGGCTGTTGAACCCTGGCTGGAAATGTCACTCTGGGCCCTCTGAGCAGAGAGGCTGTGACTGTCCCTCTCATAGCATGTGCTAGGCAGGTTGGAGAGTCTTAACTCTGATGCTGATTTGTGACCTTGGACAGATACATTTCCTCTCTGCTTTTCCATCCACTCAATTAATGGTCATTCCACTGACTTGTCCACCAATGAGGATGATGTACAGAGGGTCTGGAGCCTGCATGTGACACAGACTCTAATGAAGGAGCTTAGTAACCGGTGAGGTTAAGATATCCTTTATTAGAAAAACACTAGTCAAACGCAAGCCAGAGCGTGCCAGGGGCAGCAAGGCAGGGAGGCCAGAGAGAAGGGGCTCCCATGTGCCTTGTCTGTCCCTTTAAACCCTATCACACATCATACTGACCTCACCTTGACCACGCCCTAATGGGCGTGGTTAGGCACACCTGCAGCCAGCTTCTAGCAGGTGTGGCTTACACTATCCCCTACAATACTCCAAAGGCCATGAGGACAGTACACTGTCCACCAGCTGTCCATGGAGTCCATGGAGACCTGACTCCTTGCAGCCTCAACCTTCTAGAAACCCAGAATAGAACCCTTTACTATTTATTATCCCATGGAGGCCCCAAGACAAACTCTATGTGGGATTATTGGCCCTTATGCTCTTTATCTGGGACCTTCGGGCCACAAGGTCACCAAGAAGCTTCCTAGATGCCTCCTGGAGGCTCAACCCTGCAGGCCCAACCCTCTGCACCCTGTCCAACAGATTGCATAGCCTCCAGATCTACTTTTGGGCAGAGAAGCCCATAAGTATTCACAGGGAAAATGTTTGCTCAAGTCCCACAGGGGACACAGAAGGGCTGAAGTCCTGCAGCTTCTGTCCTAGACTGAGCCACAGACCCCCATGAACCCACAAGTAGCCATCACTGCCTGTTGTAGGATCAGTGGCTCACAGTCAGCCCTATCAGAGGTTACCATTGCCCTCTGAGCCTGGTGCCACACTGGGAGCCATGGGCCAGAGGTAAGGACAAAGTGGAAACAGTCAAACTAATGGGTGTTCAGTTGACTGAGATGTGGGAGACATCAGGAAACCAAGTTCATTCTTGGAGAACAAGGCTGAATGGCCTGAGCTGAGATCTGTTTATTTTTTCCTGGGGCTGAACCCCAGGTTTCAAGCATGCTAAACAAATGCCTTACAGCCCCAGTCACCAAGCTGCAGTCTGAAGCAGCAGACAGTGACCCAAGGAATCAGGAGGAACACTGGGAGGATGCTTCAAGGCAGAAGTATGCCTGCAGAAAGGGGAAGGGACCCCAGTGAGACCTGCACCACCAGGCCCAGCATGGTATGTAGGTGAGCATGAGAAGCAAGAGGGTCTGGGCTTGTACCTGTGTGGTAGAGGGTGTTGCAGCTGGCCAGGGCTTGGGCTGTAGAGAAAGAGGTTATCAAGGCTTGTAAGTGTAGCTGTCATCACATGAGCAGAGCTGCAGGGGCCTCAGGCCTGCCCTTAGGGAACTAGAACCCCTGTGTTGAGAGGAGATTTTCTTTCCTCAAGCCAGGCTGGTCTAAGAGGAAATCAGCAGGTTTTACTGCTTGCAGGCTGGCTGCTGCAGCAGCTGCAGAGGGCAGAAGTCTGAGGTCATCCTTGGCTGGGCTCAGGATGACCCTGTGACTATCCTGTGACTAGAGACCCCAGATAGGAACATCTCAATGCTCAGCCCTCACTCACAAGGAGGGTGAGGGGAAGTTCTTCCTGCTTCTTTCTCACCCGATGGTCACCATGGAGATAAATGCTTGCTGGTCAGCCTTAATTCCCCAGGCAGGCCTGCAACAGCTGGCAGGACCTTCTGCTATCAGCCTCCTGGGCTCTTCCTAGATCCTCCACGAAGGCTGGGCCTGCAGGCTTCTCTTGCCAGATTTCAACTGCAAGCAGCCAGGAGCTGGGGGTGAAGAGTTCAAGAAAAAGATAGCAGTGTCTCCAGGAGGAGGTGCTTCTGCCCCAGGACGGATGGCTGAGGGAGGTGACAGCACCTGGCTTACATATGTTTGCTGGGGTCTGACATTTGAAATCCCTGGAGAGCTGATTCTAGTCACATGGGCACCACACCCACCACCTCACAGTTTCTGGGTCTGGGAACCCACATTTTGAAGTTCCTGTAGCAATGAAGCAGCTGGTCTGGAACTGTACTTGAAGGACCA